TAATACTGGACAATAATGGAATAAAAGATATCAAAGAGAAAAGTGATTTGGAATATTGTATTAGGTGTTGGAATTAATTCGTAGCGTTTTTTAATGAAAGAATGTTATTTATTTCACATGAGCATTAAAAAATACATTAATGAAAGTACTTCCCATCACTTGTAAAACGCTACGAATTAATTCCAACACCTAATAACTCTCTATGCAATTTAAATTTTATTGTTAACTGACTTGGCGTTGCGAACTATTTTTTTTTTTTAATTCCTACATGTTACACTAAGAATGATCTAATGAAGATTGAAACGCTTATCTTTTGTACATTCATCTATGTTTAAATAATAAACATCAATTTAGCACTCGACATCCAGCTTTTACTCATAGTCTATATACAATTTAATTTTTAAAAACTTTCTAATTCTGGTATAATAAACGTAATGTACAAAGGCATTAATAAATTAAATAATTATAATAGGATACATAAAGGCAGACTTATAAAAATTATGCGTTTGGCGGGTTTTCTCCGTGTCCAGATTCATTTTTGGAAAACGTTTCGTGAACCTTGTAGTCCACTTCATCAGGGCGAAGAGTAGCCTGAGCTGTTCCTCCGGGCCGTTCCTTTTATATTACGCTACTTGTTGGAGTAATGGGAGGAAAGAAGGGAATTGTGAGTGAGGGGGGGAAGAGGGAGGGAAAGATGAGGGAAATCAATCGGTCTTCAATAACTGGGAGGTTTTCCATCTTTTATTTATGTTGTAGCCATCACTATTTATATTGTTAGGGTGTTTTTGTATCTCTATGGCTTCTCTATACTTTCTTGGAAAGTATAATGTAATGTTGTTGTAGTCGTTTTATCAAACAGTATTTGATGTCCTGTTTTGATGTTGTGTTCTGATACTAATTGTGTTTTAGCTTGATGTACTTTTATCCATAGCTTGACTATTCTCCGGTTTCTCCAATGTATACTTGCCCTCAGGAACAAGGTATTTTGTATACTTCTGTGGAACTGAGATATTTGATTTTCAGGATTTCTTAAGATTTATATCTTTTTGAGTGATTTAAAGATAGTTCGGATATTGTATTTGTTTAATATCCTGCCCAATCTGTCGTTCCTTTGACATATGGGAAAATGGATAAGATCCTTCCGTCTGGTTGCATGTCAAAAATCGTTGTCTTGTTTGTATGTTTATTGATTATTTTGGTTATGTCTTTTTTCTCGTATCTGTTTTTCTGTAAGGCTAGTTTTAGGTGAAGTTTTGTCTGTAGATGTTCTTTGTCAGTTCTTTGTAAAAGCTCTATGTACAAATGAATTATTTCAGACTGTTGTGCTGAGGGATGGTGCGACTCGACATATAAGTATCTATCTGTGTATGTTGGTTTTCTATACATTTGATGGCCTAAGGTACCGTCAGTTTTCTTAGAGACAAGAACATCTAGGAAGGGGAGTTTTTCGTTTTCCTCTATATTTATAGTGAAGTGGATATTTGAATGCTGATTGTTGAGGAAAATAAGGAAATAAATTTATAGAGCTCGATTTTGCCGTGCCTCTATCGAATGTGTCGTCTACATAATGGAACCAAATTTTTCGAGTTTTGGATGTTTTCCTGAGGGCCTCTTTCTTCAAATGTTCCAAGATGTTGGCAATTACAGAAGAAATAAAAGAGCCCATTGCCACTCCTGAAGTTCGTTCATAAAATTGGTTGTTATAGAAGAAGTAAGTGGATGTTAAGCATTTCTTTACTTGCAGGAAGAGATCGGAGGGGACTTCATGTGAGGCCTTTACGTTTAATGTGTTTTTTATTGGGACTTGATAATAGTCATGAACACATCAGACTATAAGAAAAATATGAAGAATCTTGTCTCGGACAAAACATATAAAAAACATATAAAAAACACATACAAAGATTCAACTAATACAATAGCACAGAATATCAAGATATATTAGTGGAGAAAATCAATATTCCTAGTAAAACCAAATCAACATTAAAATCTACAAATCCTCTTCTATCAAGACTATACGGACTATCAAAAGTACACACAAACCAAACATTTCCCTTAGATCGATTGTCAGTGCTATACACTTCCCGACGTACAACTTATTCCGCTTTCTAGTACAAATACTACAATCCTTTACTGGAAACTCCGAATCACATAATCAACTCAACGGACTTCATACAAAAAATCCGACTACGTCCCACAAACCTGCTTGTAAGTTTCAACATAGAATCCCTTTTTACGCAAGTTCCAATAAAAGACGCATTAAACATAATAAAGGCCTCACATGAAGTCCCCTCCGACCTTTTCCCTCTAATAAAATAAAGAGCACTGTTTAACAACCACTTACTTCTCCTATAACAATCAATTTTATGAACAAATTTTGAAAGTGGCAATGGATTCTCCTACTTCTTCTGTAATCGCAAACATCTTCATGAAACATTTTGAGAAAGAGGCCCTCAGGAAAACATTCAAAAAACTAGAAGTTTGGTTCCGTTATGTACATAACACATGTGATATGGAGACACAGCAGAACCGAACTCCATAAATTCCTTATTTTTCTCAATAATCAACATCCAAGTATCCACTTCACTATAGATATAGAGAAAAATGGAAAACTTCTCTTCCTAGATGTTTTTGTCTCTAAGAAAGCTGACGGTACCTTAGTCATCAAGTGTACAGAAAATCAAATAAAAATAGATACCTACATGCCGAGTCACACCACCACCCAGCACAAAAACAGTCTGCAATCAACTCAGTTGTACAGAGCTTTCACAATCTCTGAACAAAGAACATCTACAGACAGAACTCAACCTAAAACTAGCCTTACAGAAAAACGGATACGACAAAAAAGACATAACCAAAGTAATCAATAAACATGTAAACAAGACAACAATCTTTGACATACAACTAGACGAAAGGATCCTATCCATTTTCCCATATGTTAAAGGAACAACAGATTGGATTGGCAGGACACTAAACAAACACAATATCCGAACTGTCTTCAAACCACCCAAAAAGATAGTATAAAACTTAAGAAATCCTAAAGATCAAAGATCTTCATTCAGTTTCGTAAGAGTATACAAAATACTTTGTTCCTGCGGGCAAGTACACATTGGAGAAATCAGAAGAATGGTCAACCTACGGATAAAAGAACATCAACATGATATTAGGCTAAAAGACGTCACACAGTCAGCATTATCAAAACGCAACATTGGAACAGGATATCAAATACTCTTTGACAAAACGATCACATATAATAGCCAACATTACATCATACTTTCCAAGAAAGTATAGAAAAGCCATAGAGATACAAAAACACCCAATCTGAATAGAGATAATGACTACAACATAAATAAAATATGGAAAACCATTCTCTCAGTTATTAAAGATCGACCAATTTCCCCCATCTCCCCTCACTTACAATTGTCTTCTTTCCTCCCACCACTCCAACAAGTAGCGTAATAAAAGGAACGCCTCGGAGGAACAGCTCAATATCAGACTATTCCTCGCCCTGATCAAGTGAACTGTAAGATTCATAAAATGTTGGCATTCCAAGAATGGATCTGGACATGTAGAAAATCCGCGAAACGCATAATTTTTATGTAGAAAGCCCGTGGAAGCTTCAAGAATATTATCAAAAATAGATTTCTACAAATGATGCACATTTACCTAGTGTATAAGATAGAATATAAGGAATGCGATGAAACATACGCGTCAAACGAATAAGTATTTAAAACGAGAATCAAGCATAGATACCACATCAACTGGAAAACAGAACAACGATCGTAACGTAATTATGAAACATTATTTGGAACATTCATATGATTTTGATTGATCATAAAAATATTGAATGAAGAAAAAATATTGAACAAGAAACTTATGTTAGAAATAATTTTTATTCGGAAACAAACAAATGTTTATACATATAGTTGCATACATATAGTTGTATATGAAGTTATTGGACAAAATATATGACAATTTATTCACTGACAACTGAAATTTTCCTTTCTTCAATATTCCGAGAGGGTTCTCATTTACGAAAATGATTTCTGATTTCTTGTATTCGTGTTATTTCAAGGATTTTAAAATGATTTTATTTGTTTTCCGAAAGAAATTCGAGACGCGCGACCGAGCATACGACGATGTTTTTTTGTTTGATTTCAGATTATTTCTCGATTTCAATACTTGAAATCAAGGAATGCTTGAATACTTCATTTGTTGAATAGAATTCCTCATTGATTTCGTAGGTGAGTAGCCCTCGCAATATTCTCTTTTACCTATGTTTGAGTTGCTACATGAACGGTAATAAAGAATTGTTTAGATGTATCGTAACGTTCGAATAATATTTTGTATGAATTTATATAATTTTTAGTAAATTTAATTTAACATTATAGTTTCAAGCAAATAGTGTGCCGATTATTTGTCAGTTTAAAACATTGCCCTAAATTAAAGTCGGAATAATATGTAAAATTTTAATAAGTAATTAAATATTATTAAATTTGAATATTGAATATCATAATGACATATCAAGTTTACACTCTTAATAAAAATCATGTAAGTCAAAGATCTAATTATGTATTCATCTATACGAATATAGTAGACTATTAATTTTGTAGTGCATCATTGTATTTAGTTAATATAGTTGACGATGGTTCAGTTACCATTGCACAGTGTATCGGGATGTTCAATGATTTTGTTTGAGTTACATTGAAAAGGATTCGAATCAAGGAAACATTTGGTTAAGATACTATGTGAATAAATAAATCTTATTTCACACTAATATCCTGTGTTTGGCTTGAAAAGACATCATGTTATAGACTGTTCTCATCTCAATGAGCCTTAATTCAATATTATTTCATTTATATTACAATAATAAAATATCTGATATTTTAGATTAAAATTCAAATAAGACCGAAAATCTGTCTTATGAACCTTCCTCTGTTGTAACTTATTTAATAATTTATTATTATTTTCATTATTACCATGTTATTTTATTTTATTTACAGTATGATTGATTTGACAGAGAAAGTCGGTCCTTTGGAATTGCCAACGAATCAAACAGGTTCAATAGAAGTGGGTGATCTATCTTTAACAGGAGAAATGGGATTGTGGGGGAAGAGTTTGGTATTAAAAGATAATTATTCGCCAAGAACGATATGTGCTTCTATTACGGTAATAAATCCATATATTATACATATTGTATAAATTGTAATAAAAAAAGAAAGACACAAATAAATTTAAGAATAGTAGAAAATACTTTATTCGGTCATGATGGATTTTCGTCCCTATCTAATGATAATATTTTGTATGAATTTATACAATTTTTAGTAAATTTAATTTAACATTATAGTTAAGCAAATAGTGTGCCGATTATTTGTCAGTTTAAAACATTGCGCTAAACTAAAGTCGGAATAATACATAAAATTTTAATAAGTAATTAAATATTATTAAATTTGAATATTATTAAATTCTAATAAGCACCTTTAAAACGTTGTTAGTTTATTGTAAAAAATATCTCAGTCGGGATTTAAACTAATGATTTTATGCAGAAAATTCGGAAGATCCAGGTTCGAATATCAATTGAAGCAATATTTTTCGCAATAAATTATTTACGATGTTTTAATAGGCCTAAAAAATCATTGTTTGGGTCCTCAGAGAATAGAAGTTATTATAACAATTGTTTGTTCGGGAAGTATTGGGAAGATGATAGAATTGCTTAAATGTTAAAAATGACGATATTCACATATATGGTTAATAAGTGAAGAATGATGATTTTAACCAGAAACTGACAAATAAGAACGTTCTTCATGTAAAGATCGCGAACTATTTTAATACTATCCAGGATGCACTACGTAGGGATATACAATAATCCCCTTAACATTTCTTGACAGAGATTGGGGTTCCACCCACAGTTCGTCATTCCTGTGGTATTTAGCAACTTCAAACCTTCTCTGTCATGCGTGGCAATTAAAATAGAGTTTTACCAAAAAACCACACGAGAGTTGTTCTCACACTGCAACACTCGTGTAGTTTTTTGTTCAATTACAAAAGAACACCTTGATTCTTATTCAATTTTTTTTGGTTGTTTTAAGAAAAAGTTACTATATAGTCACTAGTATTATATCGTCAAAAGTTACTAGTATCGTCAGATTCTGATAAAAATGCACATAAAAATGCATATTCGCTCATAATTCATCTGTATCACGCATGAATGAACACATACATGCATGGTAGAGAAGATTTAGTCACTAAATACCGAGAAACAACGAATCATAAAAAATAACTTACAAAGATAAAAAAGATACGTTAAATGCATGAAAAAAAGACTTATTCAAGAATTAATTTATATGTAAAATAGCCATGTAACCTTAAAGTTGGCCGCTAATCGCGATCATATTGTTGTCACTTTATTTCGTACGTCATTGGTCGCAAGATTGTTGAGTCTGCTGAGCGTAATTATTTACTCGGTGAACAATCGGAATTCCGAAATGCATCGAAGAAAAAGTGTTATTATTTTTTAGTTGTATATACCGGTTGTATATACATTTTGATGTACAGACCCGAAATCTGCCAAATATATTATAATATTGTATATGCGTATGGCAGATTTCGAGTCCGTACAACATCAAATGTATATATATTTGGATGAATGTATGTACATTATAATGTAGTTATAAGGCTCTGCGCACAATATTAGAAACAGGAATGAATATCGAGATTATAATCTGTATTAGAACCGTGTATTCCGAAGTAACTGGTATCAGATAAGTTGAAATCTTAATATTTATTGCTGTTCCTAATACTTCTTGTATTGTGTATAGGCTTTAACATATCAATAATAATAACTTCGGCAAAAATCGGATCGTATAAACGAAGTATAAATATGTACCATGAGCTTAATAGTCGTAGCACAGACTTTCACATAACATATAATGCATAGTGTATAAAAGAATCAATTGATCAAAATTTTTCTTTTCCTTGTAACTGAAGGGAAAAAGAATACTGATTGTCTTAGGTAAACAATAGCTAGCATATGTTGTCACTAATATGACAATGTCGTGGACTGTAAATTGTTCTTTATTCGATGTCTTACTATAAAACCGACAAATCCAAAGTAAAATATTTTCTCACTTCTTGCCAAAAATTGTTGGTATAATTTTCATGGAATGGAAATAACTCCTTGCATCGCGATTGGTATCTTCGCCAATTAGTCCCGTTATTTGCCAATTGAAATGCAACGAATCATAATAACAATCTTATTGTGATATTGATGTCAATTGGCTGATGTACGGATCAGTTGCTCAACACGTCGCTAGATGTGATGTTACTTTAGATAAAGCAGTGCAAAGCTTATAACGCGGCTTTTAAACTTCGAAATATCGATTTGTTGGAAATACATAAACTTATCTTACAACTGTTTAAATTTAAATCAACGGATAATTTTTTTTATTAATTTTATTGTCCTTTCCATATCAAAACTATTTTTGCATTTTAATGAAATGATTTTATTTTTTTTCTTCTAAAGAAAATTCTAATTCTGCAATTTTCAAGACTTTCATTGTAGGTTCGAGGACAGCATATTTCTCCAGGTTATCATCTAAAATGGTTCAGAGACAACATATTTTCCAGGACACAGACTAGAATGATAGCTTCCGAGACAGTACAAAATCTTTCCAGGACATCTTCGGCAAGAATGATTGTTTCAGGTGCATTTCGTTATTTATATATGCACTTAAATCACTTGACTGTATATACAAAATGTTTCGTAATGAATAGTAATTATTAATTCTGGATCCTTGTGATTAGTTTAAAACTTTATTATTCAAAGATATCAGAACTATCTGAAGAAGAAATTATATTAAATTAAATGTTATAACCTTGGTATCTTGATATTAGCCTTTTAAAATTGTCTCATGTGTCTATCCCATAGACATAGTATAGATAGATCGAGTATTGACATATGTCAGACAAGGATATCGATCTCTGGCGCGAGTGAAAAGAAGAGAACACAATTGGATCTTTCGTTCTCTCTCTAACAGAAGAAAGTGGGAAGGAGGGGGGGGGGGGTGCATCGATCGTGCGCGATCGTGCATCTGCTTCATAGACATAGAGTGCGTTCGGGGAGTCACTATTCGCGCTATGGACGCAAACGTTATCATCGCTGTTCTTGGAGCCAATAGCGCGATAGCGTTAGCAAACTCCATGAACGATTCTAACGTAGCGTTGGTAGCGTTTAACCAGAGATATATTCGTCGAGGTTAAGTTAATGTCAGGGATTCTGTTTTCAATCACCAACCAAACTTTTCTCTATAATTAAAATTTTTAATGTTTTGTAAAGTATTTTTAATATTTTTGTACATTTTTTATTTTCTCGTAGTGAATAACGGAACGCAATCTCAATTGCAATCTCTGATAGTTTGTCGCTAGGCCAGAGTGAACAATGTAAACTAGATCAAAAAATAATAATAATAAGTTACACTGAGTAAATTAATCAGATAAAAGGAAGAACTCTTGAGCATCCATGATCTATTTTAGAAGAAGAAGCATATTTACATAATAAGGACCTTAAGCATCTGCAACGGAATATCTTGCTACGCTATATCGCAATAGTAACTTTTTTCCGTACATGGGAATTAAAAATTGCCAAGTAACAAGATATCTCTGATTTTCACATTTATAATGAAATCAAATACCCAAGTTGAACTTCGCAGAAATTTTGAAAAGTTAAAGATGATACACAAACAAGAATTACATTCATTTCAGCTTAGTGACAAGCCATCAATAGAGATTAAAATTGAGATTGCATTCATTATGATAAAATTTGAAATTCACACATTACGTACGTTTACTCTACGAAATTCTAAGAGAGAAAAGTTTAGTGCCACTCGAGAACAGAATCCCCTCAAATATTAATCTAACTTTGACGAAATGTCAAACGCTACCAACGCTGCGCTAGGGTTGTTCACGGATTTGTAAACGCTAACGCTACTAATACACTACCTCGCAAGGAATAGCGTTGATAGCGTGCAGTTGTGACGTAACACGCTACCATGACATCATGATCGTGTTTGTTAGCGCTATCTGCAGCACTGCGAACAATTTGTAGTGCAAATAGCGTCTTCCCGAACGCACCCATAATATAGAGAGTAGACGCATGATCATGATTCACTCTCCACTTTCTTCTGTTAGAGAGAGAACGAAAAATCCAATTGTATTGCCTCCATCTCAAACGTGACTGCTGTGTCTCGGTCTATTTATTGCTACGTCTATGGTCTATTCTTAGCCGTTGTTACTAGCTTTTGGATCGTCTTGTATTCAATAAACAATTTATCTCCTGAAAACATTGTACATGAATAGAAAGATGTCTCCGAAACTGTCATTCTGAACGATGTAAAAATGTATTATCTTGGAAGCTGCAGTTTTTGTCAATATCCTGGAAAATATATTATCCCAGAATCTGCCAGTCTGTGAATGTTCTGGAAACATATGTTGTCCCGGAACCTATCAATTTGTTAATTTGTCAATGTCCTGAAAGAATATGTGTCCTGGAATCTGTCAATCTGTGAGTGTCCTGTCAAATTTGTTTTTTTTTTTCGAAAACGAGTAAAAATAAATTAATTTCACTTGAACGGAAGGTAGAAAACCAAAAGAGGTTTATAAAATTGTTTTTATAAGTAATTTTATTTTCGGTTCCGGAAGCTGCCCTGACATATATATTGTATATATATATGTATATTATTATATAATACACATAGGGATAATACATATTTATGTTTAAGTACACGCACTATTAATATCTGTATATTTTAACATGAGTAATTTCTACATCTTTTCATTAAACATAGCAAAAAACGGAGTAGCTACGTATATTATATATGTAATATATCTATGTATAGATATATGTATGCTAATACATATTACATGTTACATTCATAAATACGAATTATAATTACATTTTATGTGTATTATAATGTATGTACACACACACAATGACACAAAATATTATTCTATTATTGCATATAGACATGCTGAATTAATGATATATGCAATATTAAAATTATATTTTGGGTACATTATTGTGTATATCTACATTATAATTATAATTTATATTCACTAATTTTTTTATATGCTGCAACAATGTTAGAATTATAAATAACATTACAATCCGAAGCGCCACTACGGTCTAAGTATTAAGATGTTGAACTAATATATATATTATTCAAACGAATGAATTAATTTCAGAAATAATAATTACGTGTCGATATGGTTGTCGACATTAACGCAATTAATCTGAAATGTAATAATCCCCCCAAAATTCCCCAAATTAATCTTAAAGAATTATAAATGTTATGTTTGTACAATGTGAATACACACACATTATACAATGTATGTACCTAAAATTCTAATATTGCGTATAAATGGATATATCTGCATGATTATCTAAACATGAGTAACTTTTATAAACTGTTTATAAAATGCGTGCGTGCGTGCATGCATGCGTGCGTGCGTGCGTGCGTGCGTGCGTGCGTGTGTGTGTGTGTGTGTGTGTTTTTATAAAGTATAATATATATACAATTTTCTATATTGGATATATAAGTCGACATGTTAGTAATGTAAGTACTATAAGTATCTATTTCTTTTTATTAGACAGAGTAAAAAGAGTTACATTATGTATGTCATATTCATTTATTGATAATATATTATCGTAACTTAAAATGACATTGGTAAGAAAAAAGTGCTACTACGGTTTCATATCGATATAATTATTAGTTAAAAATCTGTACTTTATGTATATTACAGATTTTTTAGTACTGTTGGTATATATTGGAACGCCGCCTACATTGCATGTGTATATAACACAACTGTATTTCTAAGGCCTGATTCCACAAATATAAGATTAACTTCAATTTCGGTTAATTTTTTTCTCAATTCTAAAATTGAAAAATTTTCCAAAATAAAATAAATCTTACATTTGTGGGACCGAATCTAATACATGTTTTCGTCCCTGAGCTAAGATGGTGATGTAGGAAATGAAATAAAAATGTCGATAATTAATCGATCGAATTTTCTGCATGATCATATCAACTCAGAGGACGTAAGCATCTTATACATTGGAAATGAAAATCTATAATATCGACTTTGATTAAGTTCAGCCATCGTTCCAGCATTCTTTTAATAATCAGTATGTAATATTTGATCGGATGCAAAGAACATAATTTTTTATCGCATTAAAAATGTAGGGTTTCGTAAAAAAGAGCATTTACGGAGCATTACTTTTTTGTTTTAATCTCAAGAAATCTGCTGCTGAAAATCATCGTTTGCTAGTGAAGGCTAATGGGGAACATGCTCTACCTGAAACAACTTGCAGAGATTGGTTTAGAAGATTCAGAAACAACGATTTTGACGTGAATAGCAAAAAGTGTCCTGGTAAGCCGAAAAAGTTCGAAAATGGAGAATTGGAGTCATTATTTCAAGAAGATTCATGTCAGACGCTCAAAGAGACGCTATCGACGTCAGTTATTCAATTTGAATCGAACACTCAAAGAAAAACGCCCGCAATACGCCAAAAGACATGACAAAGTTATTCTTTTTCATGACAACGCTAGACCACATGTTGCATAACCAGTAAAGGAAATCTTGGAGGCACTTGGATGGGATGTTTTACCCTTCCTGCTCTATTCACCAGACGTTGCTCCTTCAGATTACCACTTGTTTCGGTCGATGCATGATCTTTTTGAGCAGCATTTCAGTTATTTCGAAAATATTAAAAAATAGCTCAATGATTGGATCGCCTCAAAAAAACCTGATTTTTTTTTATCGCGGAATTTGTTACCTGAAAAGTGATGAAAGGTTGTAGCTTTCGGTGGACAATATTGTGAATAAAATATCAGATACCTTTTGAAATAAACATGAGTTTTTGTAGCAAAAAACAGTGAGAATTAATTCAAGCATCAATTATGAAGAATTAAATTATTCCTTTATACTAAAAAAATTGTTGAATTTATTGCTGTTTTTAGGCCCGTTATTGTGACCCTATGTATCTCCTCCCCCTTTCTTTTTTTGTGGCTGGGTAATGAGAATTACATGACTTTCCCTGGATCGGGGGCGTAGCGCCATCGGCAGGGAAAGGAATGCATCCTCATTTGGAATATAGTGCCGAATAGCATTTCGATCCGGGAATCTCCGAGACTTCGGAGGTTCCACTCTGGCCTCCCCTCTCCGAGCCCCCTCCAGCGTGGATTCCCAGCCGCGGGTCTCCCGTTTGATCCACGATATTTCCAAACGCGTGTCCTCCTTAATTTTTTTCGCTTCCAGTCTCATATTTCATTTTTGCGCGTAATGCTCTCTTTATGAAGCTGAATGATCGCTTCGTTCAGCCGTAAAATTTCTCTGTCTTTGAGATCTACATCGGCATGTGCACTCGGCGGTTGGTTGCCCAGAGCGATCCTCTTCCGGAGAATCTCGCAAATAGCAATCAATTTAATGGCCGCCGCTCACAAATGGTTCGCTATATCCCCCCTAATGTTTTTAGATCTCTCAATCGACTTAGCGATGCTATCAATGGCAGTGGTCGCTACTGATGTGATTGCCGCGATCGGCTGATGTTCCAGGTTGACCGAGAGATCCTCAGCCTCAGTTAATCTCCGCGTATTGCGCTTCGAGGCGGGAGCCTTATTTGGCTTCGCGATAAATGCGGCGTCTTCAACAAGGCGTTTGGTCAGTGCGTCTTGCTAGTTCTCTCTCTCTCTCTCTCTCTCTCTCTCTCTCTCTCCAAGAGCTTCTCCGCCGTGAACTCCCTCGTGAGAGGGGTCCACGGTCTTCTCTTCTTTGGAGCATTCCCTTGAAATGTCCCATTGATTTGTAAACGTGGAAGGAAAACCCCAAACGGGATTTTCCTTCTGGATTTACAGTTTCCGTCTGAGTTTTATGGTTTTTCCTTACCATTTGTGCACTCTTCTAACGAGAGGAGGCGCACAGGTGACATGTGTCAGTCCGCACCGTTAAGAGTACCCAGCGATGCGGCGACACGTCTGCGGGAGCACCCGCGTCCGGGTGGAGAGTAGTCTCCTCCTAACGGCGCCGGGTCGCCGAGCATTTGAAGTTAGGATTGCCTTCCATTACCGGCACATTGAGGGTGTCCCTACTGGATGTTATCATTATTTCGAAATTATCGTATACTATGAATCTTGATCTACAATTTGTTTATCATTAATTATTTGACAAGAATATTATTTTGTACTATCTAAAGTAAATTGTGCACTTTTTTGTGCATTATTTTAAATTATTAATATTTATAAGATCCGGCGTCGGTCGGCGTCGGTTAGTTGATGGCATTTATCGGCGTCGTCGCTATCGGTCAGCGTCGTCATCGTCTGTCGACATCGTCGACGTCGGTCGGTGTCGACGACGCCGGATGACATTGAACGATTCGGACGACAACGATTATGTTAATATATTATATAATTTTAAATATTAGACTGTTCATTTGTTAATATTCACTTATATTGCACAATTTTTGTAATAATTTTTTTAATAATATTATTAGGTGTTGGAATTAATTCGTAGCGTTTTTTAATGAAAGAATGTTATTTATTTCACATGAGCATTAAAAAATACATTAATGAAAGTACTTCCCATCACTTGTAAAACGCTACGAATTAATTCCAACATCTAATATATGTAGGCATTGTGAAGAGAATGAGAAACTGACTTTGCGTGTACGTATATGTGTGAGTTTGAAACTTGGAAAATAAAATGCAAATGATCTTTTTGGGTTAAGAGATCTCGAGATCTCAGGGTTGAATGTATCGATTTTAATCGGATTCGCAATTGCTCGCTCGTATTTCGAATATACAGTTAAATTATTATTATATTTTTTATTACGGTTTTAGTTTCTGAGATATTGTAACCGAAACAAATTTTAACGAAAGAATTCTGGATAAGCTTGATAGCGCCGCGACGTTTGTTTACACAGTGATATTCACGTCAATTTCTTACATACTTGGTCGCGCTGCTACCGCATCGAGCATTTGATAGTAGAGTCCTGTTCTCTGTAAAGGGATGCTAGACGAATTGTACTTTCAAATGATGCATTCTGAATAGTGCTAAAATAATTCGCAATCTTTATATTATATAAAAATCGTATTCATGTTTCTGACTAAAATAATTATTTTTCATTTATCCGTATATGTGAATAATATCATTTTTTTAATTATATTTAAGCAATTCAAGCAATGTTCCCATCACTTCTCGGACAAACCATAGTTATTTTCTATTTTCTGAGGATTCAAACAATGATTTTTTAAAGTCTATTTATATGTATCTTGAAGGCGAAATTTGTTTAAATTCACAAGAAATATAATTATTTACAAAGATCCTCGACCGAATATGGCGTTTATCCACTCATTTGTATTTGACCACTCATTTATGTTTAATATTTTATCAGTCAATTTTTACTTGATAAAATTAATAAAATTATTGTTTTAAATTGACTAAATAATATATAATTAATAATTAATAATATATAATATATAATATATAATTGACTAATTAAAAATTACATTACTTTTATATTTAAAATTTCAAAAAATTAATAACACAATAATTATACTAAATGTCCCAAAATTGACGATAAATATTTTAAAGACGAATTCATGGAGACTATGAGGATATTTTTTAAATGGGAATAGATAAAAAATTATGAATAACGGGACTGGAATTTTCCTATCAGGAATGGCAAGATTGTCAGTGTCATGGTAGATTGTCAGTGTCATGATTGTCAGTTCACTGATTGTCATGACACTGATTATCACAATTCCTGATTCCATAGTCAATGTAAAGGTGCTTCTTCGAAGATGCTTCATGTCTTTATCAGTAACAAAGTTCAACATCTTCACACGGACTATCTTGCCGTTCCTAAGCGCGAAATTTTAACCACATTGTTCATAATTTTTAAACTCCTCTGATTTAGAAACTGTTATAATCTCGACATTAGACTTTTTGTCTTAAAATGCTACAAAAAAATCTGTCTATAAAATATAATATTTATCGTCAGTTTTGGGACATCTCATATTATCAATAATTAACTACTTTTATACAGGTTCTTGAAAGAGGTATCGAAAAATTTGCTCAGGCACGTTTTCACGGTCCTATTGCTGGAACAGTTTTGTTCCGATGGTTGGACAGTCAAGTAGACGATGATCTTGATACAATTATCTACACAAATTTACATCACATTCACAAACAGAAATTACAGTCGCTAAACTACACTGAGCATCATTGGAAAATATACGTTACTGATATTTTAGAAACTGGCAAAGGTTGGTAACTGTAAAATTTTACATTTAATTCTAATAATCCTTAGTTGTATTTTTTATAATGCATATTATATGTACGTTATTGAAATTATCTATAAAATTATAGTTATTTTTAAAATGTTTACGTTTAGATAAAAACAACTGCAATATACTCCAAAATGTATTCGATCCTAATAATTCTGACGTTGGAAAATCTATTGGAGATGTCGATGTACGTTTAGGCAAAATAAAAGTTGCTATTGACTCACAGGAAAGATATAAAACTTTTTATAGAGATTCTGAACTATCTTTACTACCAACGAATTTGCTTGGTCCACATCGTCACTTATACTTAGTTATCTTTCATCCTGTGCACGAGGATTCGTTTCTGGCCTGTACGAAAATAAATCATCGTAAGCCAACATATACCAAGTAAGAATTATATCATTAGCCTTATTAAATATGATAATGAAATTTGTAAATAATTATGAATTATGAAATATTTCATAAAATTTAAAAATTATGAAATTAAACGATTTTAAGTATAAACCTATCTATAAGGAGCTTTCACAGGATCTTTGTTATAAAATAATCTCTTTAATAATAAAATATAATACATATAAATCTTAGACGTTTTGACCTTTTATTAGGCCATCTCCAGTAACTTTACAAAGTCAATTAAATTATTTAAATTAATGTCTATTGTGGCATGTCATTAAAACTAAAAAATTCACTTTCATTGCATAAGTCGCTGATACAGCGCATATACGGGATTAAATATTAGATGTGCATCTTTATTCATAAATTTATTTAACAAATAATAATTTATTTTGATAAATTTAGAAGTAAAGCTAAAAACCGTAATTTTTTTTTATATATTGAGCAAAACTAGTTATAAAAAGACATGTATACTGTGTTTTAAGAGGGGGTTGTGATTTTTGTGGGAAAAATTTTATTTCAAAAACGAATAAGACACTTTTACTTTTGAATGCGGCATTAAGATTAGACAGATATATTAATACGAGGGGAAGTCAATAAGTTCTTAGAAAATCTGTTAGAGGGCACTCGCAGTGTCATGTCGTATTACTTTTTGACAAGTAGCATCTTTCAGCTGATTACTGTCAAATTTTGAGCGGAATTCATCGCGTGGTTTCATTTCTGTAGATGATTAAAGCGAACAACCTTTGTATTTTTTGGAAAAAAATAAGTTTCGTGCAGTGATCAAACATCTACATATGGAAGGTTTAACACCGAAAGAAATCAAAGCCAAGTTGGATAATATTTATAGCACATCTGCACCAACGTTTGCGATTGTAATTGGATGAATGAATTTAAACGTGATCGTACATCCACATGTGATGCACTTCGTTAGAGACGTTCAATTGAGGCTGCTACGCCAGAAATCATCGATAAAGTCCACGATATTGTTTTGACTGATCGATGAGTGAAAGTGCGCGAGCTTGTTGAAGCCACAGGCATATCACATGGCACAGTGATTTTAATTTTACACGAACAATTGGGTATGAAAAAGCTATCGGTAAGATGGGTGCTGCGTTTGCTCACTGTAGATCATAAGCGCGACCGTGTGACGATTTTAAAACAATGTTTGGAGATGTTTCAACGCAATCCAGATGAATTTCTGCGTCGATTCATTACTGTGGACGAAACATGGATGCATTACTTCACACCCGAGACGAAGGAACAATCAAAACAATGGACTTTACCGAGTGAACCAGCTCCGAAGAAAGCGAAGACCGTGAAGTCGGCCGGATAGGTGATAGCCACAGTTTTTTTAGGATGCATGCGATATAATTCATATCGATTACCTTCCGTCGAAGTAAACGATCAATGGCGATTACTACGTAGCTTTATTGGACTGTTTCAACAACATTTTAAAGAAAAAATGTTGGCGAAGAAGAATGTGCTCTTCCATCAAGACAATGTATGGGCTCAGCCTGCATTGATGGCCAAATTCAACGAATTCCGCTTAATTGCTTCTCCACCCAGCATATTCGCCAGATTTAGCTCCCTGCGATTATTTCCAAACCTGAAGAAATGGTTCGGAAAGAGATTCACCACCAGAGAGCAGCTCATCATCAGAGGCTTATTTTGATGGGTTGAACAAATCATATTATTCGAACGGCTTGAAAAAGTTGGAGAATCGTTGGATCGAGTGTATCGAGCTGAAAGGAGACTATGTTGAGAAATGAATAAAAAAAAATGTGTTTTATGTTAATATATATTTTCTAAAAACTTATTGACTTGTCCTATATTTCCCACTCTTTGTTATTAATTTTATTAAAACTACAATTATGCACACAAAAGTCGGCTCAAATGCGACTCTGAGGGTATCTAATACGGCATATACAAACTTTTTGCAATATACCTCTTATACCAATGTCATCTTCTATATATATTATGGAACTTTATTTTACTATGTCTCTTGAACCAATGCCGCCCCTTCCTCCACTTAATTCTTGCGGGAAATCGCTCGGGATACTCTCCCCTACATATCTAAAGGATACTCAAATCGGTGAAATGTGACCTAAAGTGTAGTATGTATTTACCAAATAAAAAATAAAACTGTCTTATTCGTCTTTAAATAAAATTTTTTTCTACAAAAACCACAACCCCTCTTTAAACATTGTATACACATCTCTTATATTATTAGTTTCGTTCATCACTGAAAAAAACTACGGTTTTTGGGGGAGCTCTACTTCTGAACATTTACCTTTATTTTACCCCTTTGGTTGTTACATCTGAGTCTTTTGGGTTCTCAAATTTATCGAACGGTTTGTCATCACCATGCTTATTAATGGACGTCTAATATATATTTGTATTACAATGACATTTATTACATCGATGAGGCCAGATATCAAGAGACGGTAGTATAATTATACTATTCTCGCGCCAAGTGTAGCGCGAAATTGTCCCGTATCTTTACACGAGTCAGCAAATTGCGAACACTTGAGATTATCCGATCTCTCAATAAATGGCTGAATTAATTATCTTTTGATTAGGTTCAATCAACAACATGAGTTTAAATTATACAGGGTATTCCCAGGTTAAACCGCTAAACTTAAAATATGAATTTAGGACCTCAAAACAAATAAAAATTTTCCTCTGAAAGTATTTTAATAAAAATATTATCTATCTATTTTGATTTTGTATAATTTTTATACGGAAAACTACGACATTCACATATATATTATGATCACTCTTTACACACTTCGACTTGCAATATATTTGCGAAATTTATTTATTATGTATTATATATTATAACTTACGTTGACTTTTGTAAGTAAAAATACCATAGGATTCGGTGACGGTCTAGGCACGAAGATGTTGAGAATAAAAATGGTACGCCGAGAAGCGGCGACCAAGGGAATGAGTAGAGGTATTAGTACGTGGAGAGTTAGCAATAAAAGGAAGATCTGATGGTAACAAACAGAAGAGTAGCAATTGCAATAGTATGCAGAGATGCGTTCTAATTCAACTTTGTTAACTTCAAGTATTTTTAACATTTGATGAATAACAAGAATAAAATGATATCAGGATTGACAAAGTCAAGTTTTGGAATGCATCCCAGAAAGGAAGCTGTATAAATAATACCTGGAGCAAAGGTAGACCTAGGAGTGCCGATGGCGGCCGCGGTGGCCTGCGAAAGAGCAGTGGCCTATTGAGGAACGGCAGCAGCAGTGGCAGCCTGCGAAGGAGCGATGGAAGCGATGGTGACTTGGAGAGGATTGATGATGGCGGTAATGGCTTGCGTATAGCTTTGGTGTATATATATTGAAGTTGCACTTGATTGTCTCGTTTGCATGACAATGGAGATATTTCGGAGATATACCATAGGATGGCGAGTGCCATCTGCCATGAAACGGACAACATTTCCGAGGGCGATGATGATGATGATGTATTTTAAAAGTTTGACATTTCGGATTTCATATCGTGATATCTCTATAAAGTACGTAGAAAGTAAAAACACTTTTATTATATAATTTATTATATAATTTAAACTCAAGTTGTTGATTCAGACTACTCAGAAGATGGTCAATTCAGCCATTTATTGAGAGATTTAATAATTTCGAATGTTATATTTCATCATTTGGTTCATGTATCGAAAACGATCATTTTATAAATACGTATAGAGTAGGTTCATTTAGAAAAATCTGACTATCAGCTCATGTTTTCGATTGGTTCAAGTTAACTTGCTCTCACTATGATAACACGAATCACAATGTAAAAAAATGGCACGCTTATTGAAAAATTTGTAGACATGAAATGTAAAATATTCTTTATTGATGTTTTTCATATTATAATTGTAAGGAAACTTTATAATTATAAAGAAATAATATAGTTATAAATACAATCTGTTTAATAAAAATTTAGAATTTTAAATGAAAACATAGTTTCAAACAATGATACGCCAGTATCAAATTTGTTCTACGCACACCTTCACAAAGAAAGGGCTCCAGTGGGAAAATAATAAAAACGAAATATAAAATTATTATACTTTAAAAAAAATTTATCATTACATAAATCATTATATAATTAAATAATATATATAATACTTTAAAAAAAATGAAATGAAATGTTTACATTGCGCCAATTGCGAAAAAAACATATATTTTCTTATACTTGTATTTTTAAAAAAACATCCAAGTGACAGTATCTTTATATTTCTATTCAAAGATTGTTATATTGCAATCTAAGTAATTGTACTTTTCCTTTCTAAAAAAGGAGATGTAAGTCGATTACTCGCATCTCTTGAAGTTTATTGTTATCGTTTTTCTGTGATTGGTTCTCTTGCTGCGCTTACTTCATGAGCGGCTGTCATCGCGGAGATCGCGCGTTTGACGTTATGTGTATCGAAGATTAAGTGTAATCGATTAATAAAAGAGTTAATAGTGTAATGATAATATTGTAAAATTATTACAAATTGTTGAATAAAGGAGGGAGTGTAAAAATGGCCAAAAATTGGCCCTGAATAGACACTTTTGAAACCTATGCAGTTGTTTAAAAAGTTCGTAGATTCATGAAAAAATACTTATTTATCCAAGAAAGCTTGGGAAATTTTCAAAAAATAATAAAATACTGAAAACTGAAATGAACAGCTTACAGTCTGATCGGCGAAGAGAGTCTCGTGTATGTTCTGTGAGAGCCTTACGACGAGCGCGAACCGAGACGGACATGTTTCGTCTCGGGTTGGGTGTGACGTCATTCCAAATTTTTGTTAGCCAGATTAGCCTACCTCTTTTCAGTGCTTCCGATTCTTTCTCTCAGAGATACACGTGGTCAATATATGATTCTACACAAGATTGTCTTTAGATGCAGTCTCCTACTTCGAGGAGCATCCATGCGCATTACCTGACAAGGAAAAAAAAATTTTTTTTTAATCGGCCTCTCAAAGACTTCCATGACAAAAGGAC